TACATATGAAAACAGGGGCACTTTCATAAAGTATAAGAGAAAAAGCTTATTTCTGTAATGGGCTTAAACTGAGTATCAGGGGAAAATTTAGGAATTATCTATAAAAGAACCTAGCCCTGTGACACATATCTATAATCCCAGCTACTCAAGAAGGTAAGGCAGGAGGATAGAAAGTTCAAGGCAAGTTGGGACAATTTAGGGAGACCCCGCCTCTAAATAAAATTAAAGGACTGGAGATGTAGCTCAGTGGTAGAGCACTCTGGGTTCACTTCCCAGTACTGGGAGTGAGGGGAGCCTTGAAAAAAGAATTATCTAAAATAGAAAACAAGGAAACAGATAAGGCAGCTGAGGATATAGCTCTGTGTTAGAGTGCCTCTGGGTTAAATCCCCATTACCTCAGAAAGAAAGAAAGGAGGGAAGAAGGAAGGGAAAGAAAGAGAGAATGAAAGAGGAGTCACAGTTTACTATTACCTTTTAGCGCTCAGGGAGCTGGTATAATAAACATCCTACAAAGTGTAGGGCAGTCCCACACAATGAAGAACTGTCCATAAAAATGCTACTACAACCGGGCACAGTGGCTCACACCTATAATCCCACCAATTTGAGAGGCTGAGGAAAAAGGATTACAAATTCAAGGCCAGTCTTAGCAATTTAGTGGCAAACTCAATAATTTAGCCAGAATCTGTCTCAAAATTTTAAAATTTAAAAATGGACTGAGGATACAGCTCAGTGGTAAAGTGTCCCTGCATCCAATTCCCAGTCCAAACAAACCAACCAACCAAAAACAAAATCAAAAAAACACTTTTGGTCCTTTGATAAACACTGGAAAGTTGGTTATGGCTTAACAAGTCCAAGTTTGGAGAACTTAACTCTAGGGCTTCTCAAGAGTATCCTTTAACATTTTTTTTTTAAATCACAAATTGCATTTCACTCAGCAAATATTTACTTCCAAGCATAAGAAGATAAACCGAGGCACATTAAAATGTTAAAGAATTTATTTGGGTAGACAGCAGTTCATAAATTAGGCAGCTCCAGAATGCAAGTAGTTTGGGGCTCCATCAAACAAACACAGGGAAAGGTTTTTATGAAGTAAATACAGAGCAAGGCAATATTTGACTGGCTAAAATGGAACAGTAGCCTTATTTATTTTATTCCAGTTGAAAGCCTTTAGAAGTTAGTTGGTGGTTTAAGTTTGTGTTTTCATTTTACTCAAATATGACAATTTACAGAGTTCAATGAGGTTTGTATAAGTGAAAATTCATAGTGCTAGAGCCTTCTCAGACAATGGATTCACAATGATTTTAACACAGAAAATGCTTTTTGTAGAGCAAGTATCATTTCCTTCTTTAATTTCACAACCATGAAAATCATATTGGCTGTGGCCTACCTTTAACAACTATACCAAGAAAAAAAAAAGTTAGCTTTTCACAAAAAATATTTCAATGTCATTTATCCTAATCTCACCTTTCTATTCCAAACTTCATATTTTCATGACCCTGTTATCTTTCTTTTCTTCCTGTGGTACTAGGAATTGAACCCTGAGGTGCTCTACCATTGAGGTACATCTCCAGGCCCACTTTTTAAAAAGTTTTCATTTCGAGACAGTTTCTCTAAATTGCCAAGGCTGGCCATGAACTTGTGATCTTCCTACCCCAGCCTCTAGAGTAGCTGGGGTTACATGCAAGCACCATGGCACATAGTTTATTCTGCATGCTATTACATATGTTTATAAGCTACCTCAAATATTTTTGGAATAAAATAGGATATAAACTTAAAACTATAATCAACAGAGAAAAATGGATAATAGGAATAGTCAGGATAATAGTAGCACAGTCAGCTTAGGAGGCTGAGTCAAGAGAATTTCAAGTTCTAGTTCAGCCCAGGCAATCTAGAGAGACCCTGTCTGAAAAAATAAAACAAGGTGAAGATGTAGCTTAGCAGTAAAGAGCCCCTGGGTTCATTCTCTAGTACTGCAAAAACTAGTACATGCTTTTTGCCTTCAACAGTTTGTAATCAAATTCTTTTAAAAAAGATTCAAGCTGAAGAACATTAGAGAATAAGACAGTAAAAAGTGATGACAAATTATATAATCATCGTATAAAGACTGTGTATGGATTAAAACAATAATTTAAAATAGCATATATTAAGCCTTTATCAAGAACTGTGGTAACTCCAATCCTCATAGCACTTAGGTAAATTGTTATGTTTTGCTCTGTTTGAGGAGAAAGGGGGGTATCAGAAATTGAAACCAGGAGCACTCACCCCTGAGCCACATCCCCAGTTTTTTTTTTTTTTTAATTTGTTTGTTTTTGACAGGGTTTCGCTAAATTCCTGAGGAACTTGATAAGTTGATAAGTTGCTGAGGCTGGCCTCAAATTTTCAATCCTCCTGCCTCCTTAGCCACAGGTATTACAGGCATGTTCCACTGCACCTGGCCTAATATTTTTGTTTTCTTATTTGTACTACTGGGGTCAAACCCAGGACCTCTTATATGCCTGGGAAGCACTTTAACAGGGAGCCACACTCCCAGCCCCAAGATAATAGCTATTAAGGGTGGCCTAGGGTAGTATGTACCCAGAATCATGCCCTAGAAGACTTAGATTTCAGCTAATCCCTGACTTATAACAGGCAATCAAAGGAAAGCAGTAAGGTAGAAATAGGAGTGGGGGTGGCAGTGAACATAGGAACAGGTTAAAATGACATTAAGTAAGCAAGTAAAGAGACTAACTAGAGAGAAGATTGAGGATTACAGGAAAATCTGGGAGGCAGGGAACAAGCAGTTTATAAATGGCCTTAAAACTCAAAGGAGATTCCATTTAAAACAGTGAACAATAAGAAACCATTGTAGGTTATTGAGCTCAGAAAGGATATTAAAAAGGTTTTCTTGGAAAGATATTACATGACAGTGATATAAAATAATCCTAACTTCAAAGCTAAATTCATATTAGTAATTACTCTTCTTGGATCTTATAACTAATTCAATCAGACACTTCAAGGCCTGGGATGCCAGAAACATTAGAGAAGCCTCTGCTGCTGCCTGTTTCTAGCAACTTCTCTGCAAACAGGATACCTTCAGGTAGTTTATTTTCCATTCCCCTACTTTCCAGTTGTTTTATACCCAGCCTGCTTGACCCCTAATACATTTGTTTTCAACAGATGATTTCTATATCTCTTCTTATATGGTTTCTGATTATATTTATGATTCAAATACAACCTCTAAGGTCCTAAACATATCTGGAAGCTTCAAAGATATTGATAATAAAAGCAACCCTAATCCAAAGCAATCTACTTATATAAGTTTCATCCTACTTGTTTTTCCTAAAATGGTGCTTTCTCAGAAACTTACTAAGCATTAGGAACTGCTATCAAGATACAATTTCACAAAACATTATGCTTAGCTAGGTGAGGTGGTCCATGCCTGTAATCCTAGCAAACCAGGAGACTGAGGCAGGAAGATCTCAAGTTGCACAGCCTGGGCAGTTTAGTGAGACTCTGTCTCAAAATAAAAATAAAAAATAAAATATAAAACATCTGGGGGTGTAACTCAGTGGTAGAGCACCCTTGGGTTAAATCCGAGTCCCCCCCCCCAATACACACACACACCATGGTGTGTGTGTCTGCGCGCATCTAATTCAATTGTCCCATCATCCAGCAAGATATGTTAAGATTATGGTAAATAAAACAGAAGATGGTAGTTGGAAAGCTGGGGACAGGGAAATAATCTTGTAACATTTCCATATCCAAATGAATCCAGTTCAGAACTATTTCTACTAGTTTCTTCAATTAAAATACAAATTAACAATTTTAAACTGTGTACTTTGCAGACTTTAAATTTCTCAGTACTCAAGTTTCAATTTGGAAGCAAGGAGGGAGAGATTCTTCTACCTAGAATTCCATGATAGATTTGAGTAGTGCATAGGGCCTATGTTCTCCAACCCTGAATAGCATAAATTTAAACCTTTGCCACTAAAAACTGGAGGCTGTTGTCAAACTATAACAGTTATAAACATGACTCAGACCAAGTGTGTCTTTAGCAAAGATATGCTGAACTGATAATGAAGGAGCAAGCTAAATGGTAAATTGAAGAAAATGATGGAGCCTGTGGTCCCAATTACTCTGGATCACTTGAGTCCAGGAATTGGGAGATCTCAGCGGGGCAACATAGCAAGACCTGGGCTCAAAAAAAAAAAAACCAAACCAAACAAAAAAAGCTTAAGATTGCTATCCTAAAAAACCACAACCTTTCAGGAGTTATATTCTCCCAGTCAGAAATAATTTGTATCTCAATTAGTCAACAAGATGTAATTATAGAAGTCTAAACCCCGAAACCTTAACCAATGCAGTTATGTGGCCCTTATGAACAAAGCTCCCTTTTGATTTTGAAAGGACATGTAGCCATTCTTTGACCTTATTTTCAAAATTTTCATAGTGAGTGAGTGTGTGTGTGTGTGTGTGTGTACACATACTTTTTTAAACCACAACTAAAAATGTTTCTACAAGTCATCACCTTATCCCACCTTTTGTTTTTATAAGTTCTAGGAAGGGTGGTGCTAGCTATAAATATCAGAGTATTCCTCCTGCACTTAATGAATCTGAAACCCCTTCAAGTGGGACTCTCCAGTAATTTAATATCCTTTGTTTCAATGTTACACGCACAAAGGCTTGCTATCAGTAAGACTTTTAAGACTAACTAACCAAGGGTGAGGCCTCCGGGTGCCCCCCCCCCCGGAGTGCTGAAGACACTGATTGCGCGGCTGGGGCCCAAGGGGCGCTGGGTCGCGCGCCCTGGTCACTCGCCCGAGCAGCAGCTCCAGCGCTGCAGCCCGCGCGGGCCCGCAGTTCTTGGGCGAGGGCCCCGCTTCCCCGGCCTTTTGTTCTGGACTCGGCTGCTTCCCGCCCACCCACTCCCGCCTTTCCTCCCGGTCCTAGGAGTGGGGTGAGGACGGTGCGGGAAGCAGAGCTGGGAGAAGGATGGCGGCATTGGCTGTGGGAATACTCACCCCGCTCCGCTCGGCCCCTGACCCCGCAGCCCAGCCTGGCGGGCGGGGCGACGGGGCTGGGGGAGGGGAGGCGGGGACCGGCACCTAGCGCCCTGTGAGGACACCGCCGCAAGTGCGGCCCCAGGGAGGAGGGACATAGGAGGTGGGCCCAAGGGGGCCGTGAGGGCGGCGGCGACCGAGCGAAACCCCACTCGGTGAGGGAGGCCCACCAGAAGGGTGCGTTCCCTCCCGCGGCAGCCACTACCAACAACAACCGAGTCCGAGCATGCGTACTGGGTTTTCCCGCGCGCCTCGGGGAGCGCCCCGCGCAGGCCCGTGACGTCGTCGGCCGCGCGCTCAGGGCCGACCAGGCCGGGGCTTGGACGCGGTGTGCTCGGTCTAGACCCCTTTGCTGCGAGCGTAGACAGGAACCAAGGCCCCGCCCCTCACTTCGTTCGCGTGCACCCAGGCTCCCCAGCCCGGCTAACCTGAGTTTGGCTGAGCTCTTGGTGGAGGACAAAGGCGGCTCATTGCGGAGGAGGAGCTGAGGGCAGGGGAAAACTTGGGGAAAGGGGTACTAGCGGTTTCAAGGGTCCTTGCACGCTGTCCTCCACGACATTTTCTAATATCCGAATATAAAAGAGTGATCAATGAAGAGCAAGAGTAGAGCAACAGCAAGAATGTAGTGCCACTAGCATTCCCCTGAGAGGCTAGGGAGCCATGCCAGCGAACACTGCAAAAAGTACCACGAACACCACGATTAAACGCATACACGTGTCCACCACTTGAAAACTTAAGAATGGGGGAGAAGTTAGGAATTCGAGTATCGACTGTAGTACCATCTGTGGCACATATCTCAGGGGGAAAAAAAAAAGTGTGTGTGTGTACACGTTGGAGGAAAATAGTAGGAATAGGGAAAAGACTACAGAATGACTAGGAATTATAGGGGTGAGATAATAAACATCTGAGGGAAAACACATCTGCTCCTGTAAACAGTAGAATTGTATTTGTTGTAAAACAAAAGGTGTAAACGCAGGTAAAGAAGTAATGAAAAACCTACCTTCAAACTTTCAGGGAATGGAGCCTGTGAAGAGGAGGAAGGCCTGTAAGCCCAGCTATTTGGAAGGCTCAGACAAGAGGATGTCTAGTTCAAAGCCAGCCTGGGCAACTTAGACTGCGTCTCAAAATTAAAAGGCGCTGGAGTTGTAGCTAAGTGGTGATCCTCCTGACTTCAACCCTCAGCACCAGGGTGAGGAGTGGGGAATGGGGTAATTTCAGGGCATGGTTTTGATCCCGTAGACAGTCATATAAGAGATCCCCATTGGAGTAAACTAGTTAATAAATTCCCAGCACTGTTAGTCCATAACCATTTCAAAATCAAAGCTTGTTTTTTAAAAGAACCATACTGATCAGTGGTAACCAGGAAGAAATTAACTGAAAAGTGGCTTAAGGGAATTTGAAGGGATGATGGATCGGTTCTATATCTTGATTGTACTGAGGATTAAATCACTGCTTTCTTGGTCAAACCCCACAAAAAGTATGATTTTTGCAAGTAAGATTTTAAAATTAATCTTTTAAAAAATATTGCTAGCAAAAAATAAACTTCAACTAACATTTTAGCAACTACAAATTGATTGGTAAGTGCTAGTTTATTTAAATTATACATTTGATCTTTTTAAGTACAAGACAGTGAATTTTTTGTTTATTTTGCAGTAGGATTCAATCCAGGGGTGTATGTTTATTTTGAGACAGGGTCTCACTAAATTGCCCAGGCTGGCCTTGAACTGCCATTCTCTTGACTCAACTTCCAGAGTTGTCCAGATTATAAGCACACCAGTTTACAGGAGTATGTAAAAATAATAATTCATAATATCCTCTAGATACTGTGATCCTACAATGGGACACAAGTTTAAAATTACATGGCCAGTGTCTTATTTTTCTCAGTCTCATTAGTCCCCCTCATTTGTACTTTCTGTTCATATCTCATACGCTACACAGAGATATAAAAATGGTAGGAGGGGCTAGGGCTGTAGCTCAGTGGTAAAGTGCTTGCCTTGTATATGTGAGGCACTGGGTTTGATCCTCAGCACCACATAAAAATAAATAAAGATACTGTGTGTTAATCTACAACTAAATAAATATTTGGGGAAGAAAAGGTAGGAAATGTAGCCATTTGCTCAGGTAAACCTTGACAGGGGGAGATTGTTTTATTTCTAAAAGAAAGGAGAATGGATACTGAGGGGGAAAATGCTATCTGGACTGCTGCTTGAAGTAGCAGATCTCTTCTACCACCTTCCAGGAGATCCTCAGGGAAATGTAAATTAAATAAGAGTTACAGGAGGTAATCTGATTGGATGGCAGAGATAAGAAACTTGCCTTCAAACTGTGTATGCATAATAACTTACCCAAATATATAAGAGAGAAAAAGCAATAGTTGGCAAACCTATGGAGACAGTAAAAAGATCAATGGTTACCAGCTAGAGTTTGCTAGGAGGGAAGCAAAGAGGGGAGGCATGAACATGTGGAACATAGATCATTTATTAGGACAGTGAAACTACAATGTGTGATAATGTAATGGTGAATATATGACATTTGCATCTATCAAAATCCATAAAACTGTCCAACACAAAGAATGAACCCTAATGTAAATTATGCACTTTTGTTAATGACAATGTGTCAATATTGGCTCATCAATTCTAACAAAATGTACCATACTAATGCAATATATTAATAAAAGGGAAAACTGAGTGCAGTAGACAGGAATTCTCAATACAATCTGCTGTATTTTCTGTAAGCCAATTTTTTCCTAAAACAAAAAATAATTGAAACTCTATTAATTTAAGAAAATGATACTGCCAAAAAGAAAATATATACATATATCTATATCAAAGAAAGAAAGAATTGGAGAATTAAAAACAACCACAGAAAGATGATTCAGTCTTTCTATCACACTACTTCTACCCATGAAGTACAAATATATTTGGGGAGTTTGCATTATTTGAATATTTTCATAACTTTTTTCTGCAGGGGCACTTAACCATTAAGCTATATCCCTAGTACTTTTGTTTTATTTTTGAGACAAGATCTTGCTCAGTTGCTTAGGGCCTCACTAAATTGTCCAGGCTGTCCTCAAAACTGCAACCCTCCTGCCTCAGCCTCTTGGGTTGCTAGGATTACAAGCATCCACAACTGTACTGGCTAATTTGGGAGCATTTTACTGTACATAAATTATACCCCAAATTTTATTAAAATATAACTGGGTCTGGTGGCACATGCCTATAATTCCAGCAACTCAGGAGGCTGAGGCAGGAGGGCCACAAGTTCAAGGCCAGTCTGGGCAATTTAGGGAGGCCATAAGCAATTTAGCAAGATCTGTCTCAAAATTAAAAAAAAAAAAAATAGGGCTAAGAATATATGTAGCACAGTGGTAATGTGCCCCATGAATACCAGAAAAAGAACAATGCCACCAAATCAAGTCTACAGTTTAATGAATTTTGGCTTGGGGAATGGTGTATGAGTTATAGTTCTAAGCCACTTCCCTAGCCCTTTTTATTTTGAAACAGGGTCTCACTGAGTAGCTAGGGCCTTGCTAAATTGTTGAGGCTGGCTTTGAATTTGCAATCTTCCTGCCTTAGTTTCCTGAGTTGCTGGGATTACAGGCATGAGCCACTGTGAATTTTGTGAATTTTAATGAAGATATCCACCTTTGTGCTATGATCTGATTTTGTTGTTGTTGTGCTGTGGTTTTTTGTTTGTTTGTTTTTGTTTTTGATACTGGGGATTCAATCCAGGATGCTTAATCACTGAGCTACCTCCCCAGCCCTTTTCATTTTGTGTTTTGAGACTGGATCTTGCCAAGTTGCTTAGGGTTTCACTAAATTGCTGAGGCTTGCTTCAAATTTACAATCCTCCTGCCTCATCCTCCTAAATTGCTGGGATTACCGGTGTGCACCACCTGTAATGGTCTACATGTTTTTATTTCTCAAACATTCATACATAATGCCTGATTGGTCTACATGTTTTTATTTCTCAAACATTCATATGCCAATTTCTTAACTCCCAAGGTGATGGTATGAGGAGGTGGAGCTTTTCAATGAACTCAGAACCAGATCCTTATAAAACATGAAATCTACTGGTAACCTGATCTTGAACTTTCCAACTTCCAGATCTGTGAGAAAAGGTTTTGTCCTATTTATAAGACACCCAGTTTATGGTGTTTTGTTATAGTAACACAAATGGACTGAGACATTATATAACCATATCCCAACCAAAATATAGAATATTTGCATCATCCAAAAGTGTTACCTCAAACTCTTTGCAGTTAATCCCTCCCCACACCTACAGACCCTTAGCAACTACCCATTTACTTAGAGTAGTCATTCTAGATTTGTTTTGCCAGTACTAGAAAATGGTATCATGCAATATGTGTATGTCAGCATAATGTTCTTGAGATTAATTTGTGTTGTCGCATTTATTGCTAACTAATTCCTTTTATTACTGAGTAGTATTCCATTGCACAAATATACCACAATTTTCTTAAACATTCATCTGGGAAGGGTATTTAGGTTGCTTCCAGCTTTGGGCTATTATGAAGAAAGCTGTTATTAATAGTTATATACAAGTGTTTTTGTGTACACGTATTTTGATTTTTCTTGAGTAAATACCTAGGGGTAGACATACATTCTGTGATCAATATAGAAATAAAAGTTGTATTTTACTCTTCTATATTGATCACATTCGTTAGCTTGGAGCTTGTCTTATTTGATGATTCTAATTTAGAGATATTTTTGTTGCTGAATTTAGCTATCTTTATGAAATTGAACATGTTTAAAAGTTGCTGTCCCCCACACACAAGGGATTAAACCCAGGGGCTCTCTACCACTAAACTACATCCCCTGCCCATTTGTTCATTTATTTATAATGGAGATTGAACCCAGAGGTGCTCTACCACTGAGTCATATCCCCAGCCCTTTTTATTTTTTTCTCTAGAGACAGGGTCTTGTTAAGTTGCCTAGGGTCTCACTAAATTGCTGAGGCTGGGTTGGAACTTGTGATCCTCCTGTCTCAGGCTCCCAAATGGCTGGGATTGCAGGCATGTACCACTACACCCAGATTTGATTTTTAGTAGTAGGCATATGTTATGGTTTAGATGTGGTATCCCCTTAAAGCTCATGTGAAAGACAATGCAAGAAGGTTCAGAGAAGTGATTGGATTGAGTCTTAACCC